GGCATCCGAAACCGCATCGGCATCAGATTCACCAGCACCGAACACCGAGTCGGCGGAGCCGGAAGGAGCCCTGGCGCGCCCTGGCCCAAAAGGTAACTTCCGGCAGTCCCAGGGGAGGGGCGCCCCACCCAGGCGCTGATGAACCGAAATCCAAATCGGCATCCGAAACCGCATCGAAATCAGAATCGACCGGCACCGAATCGCACCGAGTCGGAGGAGCCGGAAGGAGCCCTGGCGCGCCCTGGCCTTAAAGGTGACTTCCGGCAGTCCCAGAGGAGGGGCCCCCCACCCCCCCGGCAGCGCTCCAGGACGCTCCAGCCCGAGGACAGCCCCCCCAAAAAAACTGGCCCCCGGGCCGCCCCCGAGCGACTGCCTCGCGTGTCGTGCGTTCGCGCGTGTGGCTGCCCATCCTCGGCCGAACATGATGGGCCCATTCTCCACCACGACTACCATAGGAAGGAGAGGGAAAGGGAGGAGGAGGAGGAGGAGGAGGAGGAGGAGGAGGAGGAGGAGGAGGAGGAGGGGGACGATGAGGACCTCCTCGTCCTCCCTTCTCCCCCGTCCTACATATGGTAGCGGTGGTGGAAGATTTGCCCATCAGAAAATCACGAGCGGCGAGCATACCCGTATCCGCGCCCTCGCGGTCTGGACTCCCGTGCGCGATCCTGCGGATACGCGGTCGTACGGATACGCTGCGCGCGGGGCACCCGCGGAAAAGAGTCCAGTATCCGCGCGGTCGCGGCCCAGGGGCCTGGCCCGCGAGGCTGCGGATACGCACATGTTCGTCGCCCACAAGAACATGGAGAATGTGACGAGCGGCCCCTGGATGCCCCCTCAGCATCCAAGCGGCCGCGAGCGGCCTCGAAGAGGCTCAGGAAGCCCCTCGGAGGTTTCCGACATGCCCTCCCCCCCCCTCAAGATACCCTGTGGCCGTTCCAAAACTGGGGACACCAAAAGGCGTGGCCGCTCCAAAACTGGGGACACCAAAAGGTGCCGATACCGCTACTCCCCGGACCTCTCCTGGTGTGCGTTCTGACCAGGATTTCGAGGCGAATCCAGCGGTGGCGACGACGGAGGCCCAGAGGCCCAAAAAGGGGGAAAACGAGGGCCAGGGTTGAGGTATGGGTACGTTTTCCTCCTCTGAGACACGCCCCCCCCCCACACACAAGATACCCCGTGGCCGCTCCAAAACGGCCTTGAAACATCCCGAGTCCGACCTAAGACGGCCGAGGAAACAGTCCCCGGTAGCTCAACGACGTCCCGGAGATGCCCTGGAGAAGCCAAGGCTGCCCAAAGCCCACAGGCATCATCCTTCCAGGGGCTCCCCAGGGCGAAAGGGACTCCCGAAATGCCCTCGATGTATAGAGGGCAGAGAATCCACCCCGATAATAACCTACCCGGCACGCGAGACCGTGTAGTAAACGCACCCAAAGGAGGAATCAAACAGGGCAGGGCTGTTTAGTCAACACCCAAAGCCATTTAGTAAACTCCAGTTGTCGGGTCCGGGTGGCTTTTCCCCCCCTGAATGTAGCACACACTGGGAAATCCGCACGCCACTATGAGTGAATCCGTCATCCCAGCAGAGCATTCGGAATTAAGAATATCCTGTGCGAGAGCGTTACTCTTGAGTGTCGAGGGCGCGGCGCCTAAACAAGTCGCGAGGCAGCCCAGGCGAGAGCGCGATTCCGAGGACCTTGCAAGGACGCCCCCAGCGAGAGAGCGATTCTTCGATACATGCGGAAGAGGTGTCAGGCGGGAGCCCTTCTTGGTTCCAGTTCGGGGACCAAGAGCACAGACTAACGCGCAAGACTTCCCTTTGCAGAAAAGCAGGCGTGTGAGCCCCACGAGGGGCACGCACATGGAACGAACACAATGAGTAACTGGGGGAATGAACAGTAGTTATCCAACACGAGTGATAGCTTCACGAGCATCCGCACCGCGCAACCCAACGTCAGCTTCGCACCCAGGGACGGTGTAGGAACGCTCAGCCCCCACAAGTCGACAGACACGCCCACGCACGTGACAGTGCACACGTACGCACACTGCCAACGTGCACACGTGGGATGCAACCGAACATCTGCGCTGGTCCGGAACCGGAAGAACCGACGGAGACGGGGAGACGGCGCAAGCTGGCGTGCAGTGCCCAGGCAGGGAAGGATGCCCAGGGGAGACAGGGCGAACTCTGCACCCAAGGGTGCCGCTCCCCCTCAGCCAGCTGAAACCAATGACGGGAAACCTTGTCCCGAATCCGTCCCAACACACGCGTACACACGTTTGGCGTCGCGGCCACGCGCGCAGCGACGCAGCGGCGTCAGGCTATAGCGGCCGCGGCCAGAGGGTGGTGCGACGCACACGTGCACGCACGCACACTTCACATGCCTGCGCCAGGGTCAAGGGGTCGCAACACTGCACAAGCACGTCACAGAGCTGGTTGCCGCCTGGTCGCTTGACGAACCCCGACGCAGTAGCGGACGTGCGCAGTAGCGCAACTGGATAAAGCATATACTCGTTGTTCAGTGTAACACACACAACAAAGCCAAGGAAATTCAGGCGAAACATCATCTGCAAGTTCCGCCTAAGTGTAAAACTCTTGCCTTTCAGATACAGGAACAGGTTGCCGTACCCCGTCATGAAGACGTAGCAGGCGATGTAGACGCGGATCGCGTTGTAGATATCCTCCTCCTTGAAGTAGTGGTACATCACGAACATGAGCTGCATCCAGCCCTTCCACTCGTCGGTCTGCTCCCGCTGGAGCGGCTTCGCCTTCTCCAGCCTCCTCGTCGACAGGAGCGCCGCCACCATGATGAGCGCCCACAGGCCCCAGAACGCCGCTCTGCTCTGCACCTTCTGGCGCCTCCCCAGCACGTTGGTGCGGTCGCACAGGTACACGCCCGCCAGGATCATGGCCAGCTCCCCGCACGCCCGCAGGGGCTCCAACTGCCCCGCCAGCGGGGACTTGAGCGGGCCCTCCCGGGTGGCCTGAGGGGCAGCGCTCGGGCGTGAGGGGCGAAGCATCGACCTGGACCCCGGCGACGCAGCGCGGACAGATCGACGACGGGGTCCCGAGAGCGCGAAGCCGCACGCTGCTGCGCGCAGTGGGAAGTCAAAGCGTTTAGGAAGGGTGCGCGGGAAGGATGCAGGGGCCTTGGAAGGCCACGTCGACGCTTTGCGGCCGGGGCGCGGCCAGCGAAAGCGGCCAAGCATGGGCCGAAAGGGAGGGGAGCAAGGGAAACCTTCGCAAGTGGGTCATCCTGGCTATGCGCAGCCCCTGTCTGGGGCGACCAAAAAGTACCGATACCGCTACTCCCCGGACCTCTCCTGGGGTGCTTTCTGACCAGAATTTCGAGGCGCATCCAGCGGTGGCGGCGAGGGCCTCCGGGGAGACCCAAAGAGGGGAAAACGGGCGCAGGGTAGAGGCATGGGTACCTCTTCCTCCTCTGAGCATCGGGCCCTCATCCACGATCAGTAGGCGATCAGGAGGGCCGATGCATCTCCCTGGCCTCCGGGCCGCAAGCCCGACCCCCCACGAGCCTCCATCGAGATACTGCAAGCCCGATCCCCTCTGAATTCACTAATTCCTCCCCACTGTGCAAACGACTTGCCTCCTGATCCCCCTCATAGCCCGACCCCCCACGAGCCTCCTTCGAAATACTGCAAGCCCGACCCCTTCTGAATTCACGAATTCCTCCCCACTGTGCAAACGACTTGCCTCCTGCTCCCCCTCCTATAGAGTCGCCTCGCAACCGAGGGTCGTTGGGAGGAGGACTGGCTATGGGTATGGGTGCGGGTTGTCGGACCCTGGGGAACGCTCCCGTTCGAGCGGGGGCCCCCATCCGACAACACGCACCCATGGCCCTCTCCGGTCCCCCGATGGGTTATGGGTGTGTGTTGTTGGTTCGTCAGGCCTGCTCCCCCTCCTCGAGAATCGCCTCGCAACAGAGGGGCAGTGGACTCCACGACGCCACCTCCGACGGCCGTCCGGGGGGCGACCCGGGTACGCCTCGAGGACGCCTCTCGGCGAGGCCTCCGCCGCCGCAGCAAGGCACCCCGAGGCCGGAGGACCGCCGAGAGCCGGCGACGACGAGGAGGAGGGAGGGAGGAGGAGGGAGGAGGGAGGAGGGAGGAAAGAGGAGGAGGTAGAGGAGGAGGAGGAGGAGGAGGAGGAGGAGAAGGAGGAGGAGGGGGAGGGGGAGGAGGACGAGGAGGGGGAGGGGGAGGGAGAGTCGGAGGAGGAGGAGGAGGAGGAGGATGGTCCGCAAACCTGGAGTATTTCCCCCCTGGTCCAGTCGCTCGATGTTGTTTTATTGTTCATTCCCGGGTACATGACGGTCGTTATTACCTGGAGAGGTTTGGGGGCCCGGCAAGGGTAATGCTTTGGCGGGGTGGGGCACGTCGGGGCGGGGCTGCGCTGCGATCGCCAGAGCTTGAGCGCGAGCACCATCATGCGGGGAAGGGGCCCATGCCCCCCGCACGATCGTTACTATTACCCGGGGAAGGAAGGGTTTGGCCTGAGCAACGATCGTTACGCGCCAAAGGATTCAGAATCAATCTCCCTCCTACCGTTGCCCCTGGAGGCCATTTTCGCCGACGCTGACGATGCATCGGCGACGCTGGCGATGCATCGGCGACGTCGGCGTGGAGAAACCGGGCTCTTCGTCCAGCCGCATCCCCCGTGGCATCGACGATGCGGCTCCGTCCTCCGACCCCGCCTGCTCCGACCCTGGCGAGGAGGCCCAGACCACTGCTGCCCCCCGGTAGCCTTCTTCGCCGGCGGCGCGCCCCCGCCCTGCGCCGCAGGGGCATCCTCGCCCTCGGGGGCGGCGCCCTTCGGGGAGCCCCTCGGTGCCTCCGCGCCCCCGCGCCCGAGGACCTCTCGGGCACGCCCAAAAGTGGCACATCCACGGTCAGCAGCACAGTCAAACCTGTTGGCAAGGATGCGCTATTGTAAGGATGCAAGCCCCGTGGGCGCGCATGACGAGGCTTTTCGAGCGGGGCCAGCCATTGAGGGTGATCAAGGATGGGCCGAAGAGGCAAGGACGCAAGGGCACCGTTGGGAAAATTACCCATCCTTACGATCACTTTCAACTGTAAGAAATCAACTGTGTGTGACATGTTCCTTGCTCGTCCGGGTATAACCCTACGCCCGTGATATTAAACACACGGCGATTATAAAGTTCGGGGTCCAGGGGCAAAAATAAACGTTTTCCCAGAAATACAGATGTTGCTGGTGATGGCGATGTTGATGATGATGCTGGTGATAATAATGAGAACGTTGGTGATGATGCTGATGATAAAGATGGTGATGATGATGCTGATGATGATGATGATGATCCTGGGCGCTCCTCGAGATGCTCGTTCTGAGGGTCTTTGTGATCTGGCACCTAAACCTTGCCTACGCTCTGGAGGTCCACGCTCTGTGAGGGGCGTGCTAAACTGGGTGACCACGAGAGGCGCGGACGCATGCGAGCACCGTGTGCCACACGAACCTGACTAGGGAAGGGTTGAGAAAGTTAGAATCCCATAGCCCTGCCACACGTTTCTAAAATCAGGAACGGCTGAGAAAATGAGACTTCCATAACCCTGCCCCACGTTCGTGACTTGGGAAAGCTTAAATGACGAGAACCCCATGGCCCTGCCACACGTTTGTGACTTGCGAAAGCAGAAATGGTGAGACCCCCATAAAAATGCCGCATGCTGCCAGCCAACATAATAAGATAGCAACTTCGAGTTGCAACTGTCCCCTGCTGTCATAAACCTCGGCCGTGCCGCCCCTCTCCGCCGACTAAATCTGCATTGGCCGGGGATAATGAAATGTCAGGGGTTAACAGGGGGGTAGTTTTATCCGGGAGAAGAGGTTAAACTTTCCAGCCGCCCTGGGACTAGCGCCCCCGCCGGCGGAACGAAATACTTTCTGCCGTTCTTCGCCAACTCATTATCCGCTGACTTGGGTTCAAAAAAAATATGTCTGCCGACATGCCAAGCTGGATCCTGCCACAAGACAGCAGTAGAGAGCTACAACGAAAAAGCAGTGTTTTCACTGACCGCCGTGGGCTTACATAGAAGTCACCAGGGTACGACGCCTGACAGCACATCTTGTCCAAAACCAACGGCGGCCGCTGTTGGGTCGGCGATGCTTCGCGCCTCAGATTTTGGACAACGTCCGCGGCCACACCGACAACGGGTACTGCTCACAATGCGCAGAGACTGGTGTCGGGCTCCGTGCCCCCTCTTTCCGTGCCCGTCTCGTTCGCTCGGGCGGGTGGTAAAGAGGGGACTTTTCTTTACCCTCCATGCAGATGACCCTCCCAGTTACCGCCTGCCCGATTGGTCAGCGCCCCTCTGACGGGGACCCCACTGGCGGGCACTTTGGCCAGTGACCCGGCGAAGCCAACGATCCCCGACGTGGGCAACGCTGCAATGCCAGAAAGAGGCCCTAAAGCGGCCACTTTCGGCATTTTTCAACAAAAAACAAGAAAAACGTCAATGAATACCGTTACGGTGCCGCTGAATGTTGGACGCCCGAAATGGGTACGGAAAAAGTGGGTACAATGCCCAACAACAAGTCCCAAACCAACAACGGAGGCTGTTGGGTAGGCGGCCTTCTGTCTCAAATGGAAACGGGCCGAGGCGGCGCGGACAGCGAGCCCTACTCAAAATGAACAAGAACTGCTGTTGGGCACTGTGCCCATTCTTTCCGTACCAATTTTGTCCGTGCCGATGATTGAGCAGGGACCGACCGTCCCAGCATTGCTATAGTCCTACCACGGAATGTTCGTAGAACCCAAAAATATTCGAAAAACAAAAACAATGTTCTTAGAACATTAACACGATGTGATCAAACAGCGAGTTTTGTTCGAGTCGATGAATGCATGCCGAACCTCCGGCACCGGCTCCACGCCCGCGCCCGACTCCACGCCCTGGTAGGCCAAGTCACGGCCGCCGAAGACCCGGCGGGCGAGGGCGCATAGCTCCGCCGCCAGCCACAGGGCGGACAGGCAGCACAGGGAGACTGCCAGCGCGACCTCGGACCCGGGCCCCAGCTCCATCCTCCTCCTCCTCCTCCTTTTCCTCCTCCTCCTCCTCCGCCTCCTCCTCTTTCTCCTCCTCCTCCTCCTCCTCCTCCTCCCTCCACCTCCTTCTCCTCCTC